AGAATGTAGAACATTGTCTTTATAAACTGTGTTATGCCAATTGAGCTAGATGTTCCCCAAGAGTATGTTGTTTTTTGAGACTGGTTTTTGTTTCTTAGCACTATGCTTTTAAGGTTCCTCCATGTCTTTTTGTGACTTTATAGCTCATTTTTATTGCTGAATAATACTGCAATGTATTGATGTTTCACAATTTGTTTATTCACTAACAAGTTGAAGGATATCTTGGTTGCTTTCAAGTTTTGACAGTTATGAATAAAGCTGTGTATGTATTTTTATATGCAAGATGCTATACGGGCAGTCCTCGGGTTATGAATGAGACCAGTTCCTGAGTATGTTTTTAAGACGAATTTGTAGGTAGGTCAGAACAGGTACATGTATTTTTAATAGCACAAATAAACTTCTTGTTGTTAAATGTTGTTAAAAAATATGTGACATACAAAGGATGTGACATACAGAGTTCTGACTTATAGCGACCCTATGTACAGCAGAACGGAAAACTGCCCAGTCCTGCACCATCCTCACAATCGTTATGCTTGAGCCCATTGTTGCAGCCACTGTGTCAAGCTATCTCACTGAGGGTTTTTCGCTGACCCTCTACCAAGCATGATGTCCTTCTCCAGGGACTGATCCCTCCTGATAACACGTCCAAAGTATGTGAGATGAAGTCTTGCCATCCTTGTTTCTAATGAGCATTCTGGCTGTACACTACGTCTGTCAGTTTGTCGTAGTGTGGTGGCTTGTGTGTTGGTGTGATACTGGAAGCTTTGCTACCAGTATTTCAAATAATAGCACGGTCACCCTTGGTGGACAGGTTTCAGCTGCGCTTCCAGACTAAGACAGAGTAGTAAGAAAGACCTGGCAGTCTACTTACGAAGAAATTGACCAGTGAAAACTTTATGAATAGCAGTGGAACAAATAAACTTGATTTTCTCATAATACTATACCTGTCACGGTCGAGTCAATTCTGATTCCTAGTGACCCTATAGGACAGAGTAGAACTGCCCCAAGGAGTTTTGAAGGCTGTAATCTTTATGAAAGTAGACTGCCACATCTTTCTCCCATGGAGCAGCTAGTGGTTGGAACCGCCAACCTTTTGGTTAGCAGCCAAGCGCTTAACCACTCTGCCACCAGGGTTCCTTCTTAATACTATACAACCTAGCATCACCGGGAAAGAAATCTTTCAGTGGTTTATCTATATATACTTTTAAAGTTTTGTCCTCTAAGTTGATCCCAAATTCATATTCCAAGCTTTGCAAGATAGCCAAGATCTACAGAATGTAAAGTCACCTTCATCGCTCAGTTTGGCAGCTTCACATCCATGTTTGTTTCCATCTGCTGTGAAAAGGCTTCCTTAGACCATCCCAGTAGCACGTGCTGGGTGCCAACCCATCCCTGGGCAGTTTATTCTTCTGCTGCAGAGATTCTCAACATGGGAGGATGTTAAAGGAGATCATGTGTAGTTTAAGAAAAGATATCCAGTATAGCAACGAGAGGTGGTGCAGGTTTAAAAAACCTGAGAAATGTGGTTCTTCTGGCTGTTTGGGGAATCATCTTCATGAATGAGGAAGTTGTTTGGGAGATGAGTTTGGATAAGACCTGAACCTTGAGGTTCAGAAGTGCTTAGGACATCTAGAAATATAAATGACTTCTGCTTGCATTGTAGGGAATTTGGGGCAGAACAAAGGGAAAGTTTCTGGGAATTCACAGGCTTCAAACAAATGAGGAAGGAAGTGGGAGGCCACAGTTTTAACAGTGTTCTTACCCTGATCAGGAACCGATGAGAAAATGTTAGCAAATATTACAGAGGATGGCAAGAAGTTGATGGCCACTGCTGACTCTGTGTTCACCAAAGTTGTTGGTGACCTCCTAAATGGAACAGTCTTAGTTCGACAACTGGAGCTGATTGTGAAGCACAAGACTCAGTTTCTCGACATCTGGCAAATAAGTAAGTGTCATGTAGACGTAGGGACTTCAGGCTCCTAAGGAGTTACAAGGATAAGGAATGTCTGTGTTTACATGTGCATTTTAGTAATGGGGTGATCTTTAGAATGAGTAGCTCTGCTTGCCAGTACCCTGACAGTGGTTTCTAATTCTCAGAAACATGACAGCGAAGTAATAAAAGATTAGCAAAATCAGAGTATGTAGTTGTTTTTATTCCGAGGGGCTGGCACGCGGCAGGGCCTTGTTGGCAGAGTGGCTGTGCAGGTTGCCCAACCTCATCACTCTCCCTCGCAGCAGCGAAGATAAGAGCATGGGCGAGGCAGATGGATGAAACAGGTGGCCAGGGAAAAGGATGTGTTTGCCTGATCTGTGGGGTTACCTCTTCGTTTCTTGTCTTTCCAGAGAGTAAAACCCTTTCATCCCAGGAGAAAGAACATGATGTGAAGGCTGTGCTGGACTGGAGAATGAATGAACTACTATTTCTGAAGAAACAGAAAACATATATTGATAATCTCTTAAAATTGTGTGAGAAAGTGAAACACCTGGTAAAAGGTAATATTCTTAAGAACTGAAATAAACAAAATTGAGGGGTCTCAAGCGGAGAAGCGTTAGAGCAGAATGTGATAAAAATTGATGGCAATAGCAGTGCTTTATTTTGGAGGGGAGGCTTTTTTTTTTTAAGGCTGAATATATCTACTTTCAAACTAGGTTGATAGTTTGGCTAGGTATAGAATTATACCTATAAAATTACAGATTAGAAATAATTTTCCTTCAGAATTTTGTATGTGTTGCTCCATTACCTCTACAGAGTTGCTCTTAAGAAGCCAGAAGCAATTCTAATTACTGATCCTTTGTATGTCACATATTTTTTCTCTCTGGAAGCTCGTAAAGTCTTTTTTATCCCAGTACTGTGAAATTTCATAATGATGTGCCATGGAATGGATCTATTTTCCATCCATTTTGCTGGCATTAGATGGGTCTTTCCAGTCTAGAAATCCAAATCCTTAAGTTCTGGGAAGTTTTCTTGAATTATCTCACTGATCATTTTCTCCCGTCCTTTTTTTTTTTTTCTGGCTGTATTATTAATTGGGTATTGGGCTTCCTGGAATGATCATCTAATTAATTTTCATAAATTTTCTCTCTTATTTTCCATCTATTTGTTTTTTGCTCCACTTTCTGAGGGATTTCCTAAACTTGATCAGCCAATCTCTCTATTGAATTTGTCATTCTGAATTCTCATACATATTTAATTTATAGGAGCTCATTATTTTCCGAATGATACTTTTGTATGCTATCCTGTTCTTGTTCATGGCAGTAGTATCTTTCTGAGATTATTAATGATATTTTTAGTTTAGAGGCTTTCTTCTCTTGAATGATTTCCTGTTTCCTCCAAGTTGTTTTTATCTGTTTGTTCTGATACCTCGTTTTCATGTTAAAGGCTTTCTTCATCTGTCTGGAAATTCTTGTTTGTTTATATAAAGAGAGGGGCCTAAAAAACTGCCTGAAAACTGAGTGTGGGGGTTGGGCTTTTCAAAGGTGTGCTACCCTATAGGGTAACGTGGCCGGGCTTTTAATTGTTCTGTATCTTTAGGTCTTTCCTCTTGGGCTGGTCAGATTCCCCAGAAAATACTTCCAATCTCTTGCCTGGAAGGTATAGGCCTGGCTGCCAGGTTTCTGGGAGCCACCAGGGAGAAGAGGGCTGGAGGGTTCTCAGCATCCAATATGAAGGAACTTATTTAGCCTTCCCCTCCCCCCATTTTTAGTGCTCCTTCTCTCCTGTTTCTTATATCTTAAGTCTTCCTCGTTTTTACTCCTTAAGTTTAATAGTATATTCTCTATTGGCTTCCTGAGAAAAGGTATATGTCTGAATATGCCTTTAGCCATATATCTGTGTATCTGTGACCTCCAATCCAGAGAATGCTCTGTTTTACCATCTAGAAAATAAACTATATTTTTATCAGGGTAGAGGAGAGGAATTAACATGCTATGAAGAATGAGAGTAGCAGTGAAATTTAGTATATTAAACCACTCCTTATACAGATTTTCAATTCAGTCCTACTTATGTTATTACCACTTTCCAGTTTTCTAGTTACTGGTACAACCAATTTCTTTGCTTTTAGGGAATTCAGTGATATAAGTCTGGTTGGTTCTGTCCTCCCATCCTTGTGGGCTTCTGTTAACAAATGTTCTATCTGCAGTGGGATTTGAAGAGGGAATGAGAGCAGATGCCTGTTTTCAAATTGTCCTCTTTCCCCAGAATTTATAAAGCTTTCTTTATCATAACACTTGATAAACAAGTCCAAGGGGCAAGGGAAAGATGCATGAATTTCTACCGTGAACAAAAAGGCTAGCAATTTTATTCACGTCAGTTTTCTTAGAGAAATGAGGAGAGTAAATACTGGGAAAGAAAAATAATATAATATGGTGATTAGAAGTTTGACTTCTGGTATTTTCTTATGGTTTTACAAGTGGATTTTGGAGAGACTGAAAACAAACACTGGGAAGACCTCGGCAGTAAGAGATTAAATGAAGCTGTGACGGTGAGACTGCCCATCTGCTCAGAAGTGGAGCTGATAACACACTACAACCTGAGCCCCCACGTCCAGGAGATGGCGGAAATGGTAGACTTGCTAAAGGACAGCCACGTCTTCCAGATGTTCTGGGAAGAAGCCGCAGAGTCGCTGAAGGAGCCTGAAGAGGAATCAGAGGAGCAAATATTCCACCTTGAAGATGCATATGATTATTTGTATGATCCTTGTTACAAACGGTTCACCAGACTGTATAAGGATCTGAAGTCAGGAGAGGTCACCTTTGCAGAAGTCGATGCAGCCTTCAAAGCCTTTGTCAATAGATACAGCGACCTGACTTTAGAACTCCAGGTCATGTGCACTGTGCATGGAAGGAACCGAAATCACTGGATCCGGGAGCGTGTTGACCAGATCAAGGAATATCATCACCTGCACCAGGCTGCTCACTCAGCCACAGTCATCTTAAAGATCAAAGAGAATTTGGGCCTGACTGGTGACTTCAGTGTTCTTCACACTTTATTAAGCTTTGTAAGTTTTTTGTAGTGACTCCTGGGGGCAGTGAGGACCTACCTCAGAGTCTTGGACCCATGGGCTTTCTGGATTTTAAAAGGTAGACAGGATGAGTTGGCAGCTTCCTTAAATGACTCTTGTTTGGATTGCTCTTTGTAGCTTGGTTCGGTATGAGGATCAAGAATTTAGGAAGGGGGTGAAGACCCTCTTTTGGTAGTCAGATATTTTTAAAGAGTAATCAGTTTCTTGAGGTTATATAAGAAAAAAGAGAATTTATTTTGTTGGCAATCCAACCACATCTCCTAGTTCTAGCCAGGAGCAGCAAAATGATTTTTTCTGTTAGAACTAAGCAGCAAGTCTTGTTTCCTGCTTTTTATGGTGAGCACTGATAAGCTATACTGTAACCTATATTATGGCACATGAAGTCCTGGTGGCAGAATGGTTATACGCTCGACTGCTGAACAAAACGTCAGTGGTTCAAACCAGCTGCTTCACGGGAGAAAAGACCTGACGATTTGCTTCTGTAAAGATTTCAGCCTAAGAAACCTCATGGGGCAGTTCTGCTCTGTCTTATAGGGTTGCTACAAGTTGGAATCAACTTGACGGCACACAACAACAACATAGTCTACCATAGACAGGTATGATAATGATCCAAAGTACAAAATTTGGAATCATACACAAGTAAGCGTGAGCAAATCACAGCTCTGAGCCTTAGTGTCTTTATCTACAAACAGGAAAAATAACAATGCATACTGGCAGGGTTACTGTGAGGATTAGATTTTTTAAAATCTATGCAAAATGCTAAGCAGAGTGTCAGGTACAGAGGAAGAGGAATCATTGGTCGGGGGTAGGGGGAAATGAAGGTTATGTTTTAGAAGTCCTATCCCTTGTCCAGACTCCCTGGGTGATACAATCGATTAACGCACTTGGCTGCTAACTAAAAGATTAGAGGTTCAAGTCCATCCAGAGGTGCCTTGGAGGAAAGACCTGGTGATCTACTCCTGAAAAAGCAGCCATCGTACACCCTGTGGAGTACAGTTCGACTCTGACACACATGGGGTTGACTCAACGGCAACTGGGTTTTTTAATCCTTGTCCAGTTCAAGGATAAGAACATCTTCCGTCTGTTTGCCTATTGCTGCAGCAGCTGCACATTCAGGAGGTTCACAGGGGGAGGTAGCCTTATAGGCGGCCGTGTTGCTTCTCTCAGATCTGGGGATCCCAGGTAACCTTTGCAGGTCCACAGCAAAGCCTTGCCTTGCAGACTGAGGACTTTGACCACTTTCGCCATGAAAAGCTGACCTGCATCAGCCAGCGGCTTATCCGTGCCAAGAAGCTGCTCCAGGACATCAGTGACACGCGGTGCCGGTGTCTGGAGGAGCTGTCCCTGAGGAAGGAGTTCATTAGCTGGGTCCGGGAGACCCTTAGAGGTAAAAAAAAATGTCAAGAGGTGGCCAGGAGTCTGGGGAGAGCTCCAGATGGTTCACTGGGTGGTTTTCTGAGACCTGCAGGAAACACCTCCCCTTGATGACACTGAGTCAAGGGCAAAGCCTGTCATCTACATTCTCCAGGCACAAGTGCAGTGTGTAGTTCATTGCTTGGTGGTGGAATTTCCATCACAATAATAGTTCTCATGTCTGGCGCAGAAATGATTTCTTTTGCCACTTTTTCCCCCACTCTGTGGATGCTTGCTGTGAACAGCTGGGAACGATTCCTTAAAAATCCTGCCTCCTTTAGCTTTTCCTCCAGTTGATGTTTCACTAGAGGACAGGCAAGCTCTTGTCCACTGAGAGATTTTATGATAGCATCTTTGGTGATACTGTGCATGTCTTTTCCAGCCAAGGGCTTGGCAGCCTTTGCACCTCTGTGGCTTAGGTGCCTTTGACAGAATTTACTCCTAGAGGGGAGGAGGACAGTAAGGGAGAGGGGCAGGCCGCACTGGTGCGCAGGGAGAGGTCAGGAGTGCTACCCCTGAGGGTGCAGAGGCCAGCAGGCTCCATCTCCCACTGGGAGCCTCTGTTTTCTACCATGGACTCTGTCCACTTTGATTCGCATCCTTTCATTAGCAATTAGCCCAAAGAGAATGTACCTCATTCTTTTATAGATAACCGTCAGCATACTATTTACTCTCTAAGCCTCAGTTTCTTTTTGTATTAAATGGGGATGTTGTGTGGATCAAATGGAATAGGGTATGCGGAAGCCTAGTACAGTGCCTGGGACCTTGTTTTTGTTCAGTAAAGGTTAGCTGCTGGTTCGTGGTATTAGCGAATACTGCAAAAGAAAAGGGGCCCCAGGCTCTTATTGAAAGCAGACAGTGGATACACCCTAGTATCCATTCAATGTCCATTTAAAACTTCTGTAAGGATGTTGTCAAAGGTGGAGTCTCAAAGTGCTGACCTCGTCTCTTCTCTTCCCAAGACATCAACGAGCTGAAGGTGTTTGTGGACCTGGCCTCCATCTCGGCCGGCGAGAACGACATAGACGTGGACCGCGCGGCCTGCTTCCATGATGCTGTGCAGGGCTACGCTTCTCTGTTGTACAAGCTCGGCACAACGGCAGGCTTTGATGAGTTCATGGACCACCTGACAGAACTGTGGAAGGCTCTGGAAAATGACCCGCATCTGCCCAAGAAACTGGTAAGCCTTGTTTCTGGCACCGAGTAGCGTAAGTGTAATAAAGCATGGCTTACAACACCAGGGGAAGATGGTGCAAATTATACAAAACGTGTGTGGTAGGTCTTCATGCAGCTGTTTACAAGGATGTTCAAAAGCAGCTATTTATCAATGTAGGTGCCTTCTCTCTCTTATGTTAAAAAGCAAGATTCCAAATTGCATGTAAACAACAGTAATCACTACTATACAAAACGTACGGGAAGACTGAAGGGAGGTATGCTAAAATTCTCTATACTTTCTGGTATTTTCCATACCTTGTATAATTAGTACATTAATTTTTTATTAGAAAAAAATTTATATTTAA